TTTTGCAGGACAGCGTGCTCTGAAAGATAAAGGCAAGGGAAAAGTCTAATTGTTGATATTAGCTTGTTATGCATATGTATTAAAGATACATTTTGATAGTTCATGTTTTGTAATAATACTATTTTAGTATTATGAGAATGATGATGTGAATTATATGTATTTGAGATGTGAGGGTTGTTACATGGAGGGTTTAGAACATATCCATTCGTAGCATATTCAACAGTCTTCTTCATATTGATATTTTCGCCAAGGTCCTCGTTAGTTTTCTTCCCCTCTTTCTCATCATCAATATTAAGGCTTGGGATAGGGAGGCGAGAGGCAAGATCTTCTAGTTTGTACTCGATGGAGGAGATTGCTTCAGCTTGAAGAAGATTGAAGGAAACAACTCTTTCCAACTATTGATAATAAGCTCTTTGAAGGAAGGTTCAGGGACAGGTGTTGGTTGCTGAAAGAGATGGAAGATTTGTTCGAGGAGCTCACCAGGCACCTAAACTTCTTCAGCTTTGTTGGAGAGTGTAGCGACAGCTTCAGAATTGGCTTGAACTCTTTTCTTCACGAAGTTCAACATATCTTTGACTTCACGCACCTCAACTTGGACAACATAGAGGTTGTGAGTCAGATCTTCCTTAGAGGGCATTACCTGGTGCACTTCATCCATCTTATCAAGGACAATGGCGACTACAAGCAGCAACAACTTGACATCCTCAGCCATGTCATAGGCTTTGGCCTTGATGATAGAGGGTTCATTCTCCATTAAAACTGTAGAGAGAGGAGAGCTTTGAGTATAAGAAGGTTTAGGATTAGTAATAAGAAAAGAAAGTGAGGTTTGGTGTATACCTGAGGGGTCATCAGCAATATCTGAAGGATTACCGTTGTGCATCTCTAATATGTTGTCCTGAGGATCAACAACAAGTATTTGAGGAGATTCGAGATGAACATCCTTAGGTCCTATGGTGATGGCTTCACCAATAGTGGGGACAACCACCATGGGATCATCAACACGTGTAGTACAGACCAAATAAAAAGAGGAGGAGAGAACGGTTGAGAAAATAAGTAGAGGATCAATAGTGGTGATGTTGGGAATCACACATCCAGTGATTTGAGTCACTAAAGTTGTTTGGGTAGGAGCCACACATACGACAACATCTTAAAAGATTGTTAAAAAGCTTGGGAGGGTTACAGCTGGTGCCTCGGGGTTAAGGGTTTTTTCAATAGTTGAGACCTGTTGAGTGGTCTCAGCTAGCATGGTTGGAAGTACCTCGTATTTTTCCCTCCGCCTCGGGATGTCTCGCGATACCTTCTACAGCTTACAACTTTAGTTTTTCCGTTTCTTTGTCTCGACCCGCTCTTTGAATTCTTCGATTTTTTATTGACTTCACGGTACTACTTCACAATCGGTCACCCAGGAGTATTTAGCCTTGCAAGGTGGTCCTTGCTGATTCACACGGAATTCCACGTCCCCCATGCTACTCGGGTCGTTCCCCTATTTGGCTTTCTTAGCACTCTTTAAGGGACTAAGAGAGGCTTCAGATGGTGTCCTCTTATGAGAGGATGATGTGGTAGTGGTCGGGATAGACTGAGGGGGGTTTTCCACAGTCTTAACCACTAAAGAAGTAGAATAATAAAAAGGATGAGGAGGGGCATTGGCTATTCTCAGCATAGGATCGAATAGGCTAATGTCTTAAGGTTTTGTCTTGTGATCAAGAATTCTTTACCCAAGCCGACAGATAGGAATGTCACTCTCAATGGGGTATCTGGTAGCAAGAATCTTGTCAAGAATTCCACTGAGGAACCTAGTGTAGGGGACAATTTTGCCACGTTGACGCTTGTTCAACTTCAGCCCATATCATCGAATATCAGCTTGACGAAATTGGCGTTGATTTCTCTGATCGTTGAGCAGTCAATGTTCAGCGCCATGCGGCTAGCTTGATCTTTTCCACCTGTCTTTCCACCAATGCACTGAATAAAGTGGAAAAACAGGTATTTACATACAGCAGACATCATGTTCTTCTTAATCTTCATCAGCGACTTGTTGAAGTTAGAAGTAGAGTCTTTCTTCAAAGGCCAGTTGTAGCCAATATCATCTAGAATCTTGATGATATGCTCAATGTTTGGATCTCTAGCATAAGGAACGGACTTGGGTAGGCAAAGAGCAGTCGGTACGGTTGAGAAGCCAAAACTTACAGCTAGTTGTTTGATCTCACAGTCAATCTAGACAATGGAGTTTCCATTTTTGTCTTGCAACGTCTTTGCCTCAACAATGTACTAGAACTTCCTTAGAATGTCCTTCACCATTACTGGTTCAAAGGTTAGGGCATATTCTAGTGTAGAGTTCTTTAAGAACTTCGCAACATCTGCAAATTGTTGTTTATCTGCAGGAATGCCTAGGAGTGCTATGTGGTTGTTTGGCTTGTAGGTTATATCTTCCAAAACAAAGCTATTTGTGCATCAGCCATTTCTGTAAAAGAAAGAACATAAGAATAGAATCATGCACAGATTACAGGTTAGAGCACGTTAGGACATAGTTTGAAGAATAAACTTTATTTTGAAAAACCAAAAGAAGATTAGGGTTTTTGAAACATAGTTAATAAATCAAGAAGAAGAATAATTTACAACCTGTTGTTTGTATTTAAAAGAAAGAAAGAAATTTTTAAATAACAAACAATGTTTCTTGAAGATAACAACCAAAAATAAGATTTACAAACCTGTTTCTTGAAGAAAAGAGAAGAAACTAGTTCAAAAGGTATTTGGGAGTTCTTGTTTACACAAAGTTCTTGAGAGAGAGTATTTGTGTAAGCGTAAAAAGAAACATGAGAAGGTAATAGAGATATATATAGGTGCGATAAGAGAGAAAGAGAAGAGAGGAAAATGATGCTTCGAAAGATGTGCAATGATGAATTTTTTGCACTTTATTTTACTGTGATTGGGTAGAATAGAAAATGGACGACGTGTGTCAGAAGAACGTGCATGATACCATAAAAACGATGTTGTCACTGATTATCCCTCCTTTCTCAGTCAGTATGGTTTCTATGAGTGGCTCGAGATTTGACAGGTGATTCAGAGTCTAAATCCAAGCGCACGCCTTACGTTGAAGAAGTTCTGAACGAACTATTCAATAAGGTCTCAAAGATCGTCGAGGTTCCTCCTCTGCCATAGAAGTCCTCTCAAAGACGAAACGTTTCTGATCCTAAAGATGGTGCATCCTACAAAAGCGAACATGAAACAAAATTCTTAGTGGATGTCTTCAAGGATAGAAAGAAGCCAGATATCTCAATGTTGAATCTATCACTGCCTAAAAAAGGACCCTTCCTTCCCAACACAATGCATGTGAAACCTGAATATGGACTTATGTTCATTGACTATGATGGTTAGTAAAGGTTTCAACGAATTTCTAAGTTCCATCTCTGTCCAATAGATCACCTTGCGTATCTTCGAACTTGGCTGAACGAAGATCTTTGTAGAAAGATGATGAACCGCAAGATTCAAAAGGAAATGCTCAGAAGAAAGATTCAAGGAGAATATGTCCCTGACTACATCAACTTCAAAAATCTAGATTAGATAACCTTTCAGTCTTGTAAAATCTTGTATATCTTTATCTTTTCTTCGGTGTATAGCTTTTGTGTTTTAAGCCTACCAAGACCAATTGTAATCAGTTGTAATATTTTCTCTTGTAAGATATTTCAATAAAATGATTGGTTCACCGAAAAAGATCACTCAAAAGAGTAAATGGGACATGTGCTTATGCGTTCTATTTATTTGTTACATTCGCTGACACCCTTCTAGTCAGTGAATATGCTCTCAGTATTTAGTTATTTATATTGTGTAAGTTTATTCTTTCCTTGTAATCCTTTACAATTAAAGTAAATTTCCATAATAAACTTTGTCACTGAAAAAGATCCTAAAACAGTCAAAAGGGACAAGTATTTTACTAGTACCTTTTCCTTACTGTAATACCAAAGCAATTTTCTTTATATTGCTTTGTCATAATCAAATAAAGGGAGATTGTTGATCCTTTCTCTCAATGATTTGATGATGATCCTTTTTATCTTACAAAGTGTGGTCTCTCTTTATTCAGCTTCAACGATCATCACTAAGTCTGTTTAGTGATCGCTAAACAAGTATTGTAATTCTCAGAGAGACAAGTATTCTTCAGGAAGACAAAACTCACACCACAGAACCTTCAGTGATATCGAAGATAAAGATGAAGATAGAGACAAGCAAGTTTGTGATTTGATGCGGTTTTCAATGATAATAAGTCTGTCTACACAAGTGTGAAATCTACTCAAGATTTAAAACACTGAAGAAATCTTAGCATTATTCCAGTGTCAGTGATCAAATGAATCTTGTTGAACAAGATTAATTTTTGTCTTGTTCTTTTACACACAAAGGAAAAACCCATACCTCTCAAAGTAAAGTACTGTATGGAGTCAGTCTATTGTCTCCAATCGTGCTTACTTACTTTGTGAAAGACTACTGTTCATATACGGCAAAAGCATGTTTATCTGCAATAAAGGACAAGCTTACCTCTAGAAGCTTACCATGTGTTTTGTACCGTCTGACTTGCATTTTATGCAACAGGTATAAATAGCTTAGAAGCTCTTTCTTCTCAGTACCACCCACAACTCACTCTAACTAGTGAAGAAGAAGCAAACTGATGCCAAGAACTCTACTTCTTGAAGATCAACTCTCTACCTAAGAGAAAGTCTTCTTCCCAAGCACAAGACTTCTTAACTTTTTCCTTTAGCAAGTCTTTTCTTCTTGCTTTCTGTATCTTGTGTGCTTCTTTGATTGTTAAGAGAAGTTTTGTATCTTATCTTTTCCGCAAACAATATAAAATTTTTTATTGATCTTCTTTATCAATAAAGAATTTTAAAAATTGAAAGTTGTTGTGTTTGTATTCATCCCCCCTTCTACAAATTGTTACCTTTAAACTCTTGTAGATCCGGCTAGGACCAACAAGAATTCAGAAAAGGTTGAATCTTCTGAACAGATTAGTCCTGATACTACTGTTCTTACATTGTATAATGATTCAACTGGTATTGATTATGTGTTCTCATATAAAACTTTTTCAAGTTCAATTCATAAAATGGATCATTTCTCTCCAAGCAGTGTCTGTAAGAATAACTACTTTTAAAATGTTGAACCTAATCATTATTCTAACAGATACTCTAAGAGAAATGGTTCTTCAAAGTATCAGACTCATAAGTCTAATCTATTTCACAATGATTTTGTTGATAATTCAGATAATTATTTTAAGAAAGTTAAGATGATTTGGAGAAGGAAATCAGCTACAGAGGACATTGGTGGAAACAAGTCATATACATCTCCTCTAATTGATACAAGATCATTTGTTTTAAATATTGATTTGTCATGTTTTGTCAGATCTATCAATAAGTTAATCAGTTTGAGCCAAGAAAAGATCTATCGTTCAACTTGTGGAACAAATGATTTTGTTAATCAAAGGTATGTGAATAGATGGTATGGTACATACACTATCTCGATTAGTCGGTTACTGTAAAAGTTAACCTCCAAGGACTCAATAAAGCTTGGGTACCAAAATATTTCTAATTTGTTTTGCAGAAAAGTTATGTACATTCTTATTCAGAATATTCATACCACATGACTGATCAATTAAAAGGTTATGCTACTTTTAAAGGGGGGGGGGGGATATTTTGTAAGTGAATGAATTTTAATTTTCAAAAGAACCAGGGTAGTTCTGTCTAAGAAACTTACTTATGATTGTATTTTTCCGATTTCAAATCAATCCTTGAATTGCCATGTGTTAAATTTTTCTTGACTTTGTTATTTCCATGTCTCATATATGGTTGAAATTTTCGGTGGAAATACACTCGCTTGAATTCTCATTGCTTATATTCAATTCATTTCATACTAATGATTTAATTCTTATTTGAAATAATAATTGTGAATTGTTCTTCACAATTAAGCATTCCAAGCATTGAATATATGTTTTGTGAAACACTGTGCATA